CAGAGACATGTCTAGTAGGCACCCATGCCAAGAACCAAGCACCTTTGCCAGGCTGCAAAGCAGCACCAAGCTCAAGCCAGAGCAGCTCACCCAGGAGGAAGGATTAACTAGCCATGCACCCGGAGTAGCCATGGACAGTCTCAAAGAGAAGGACATGGCCGTGCTGCTGGGCACTTGCTGTGCAAAGACAAACTGTTCTCAAGCAGCATGAGAGACCAACCAGGCTTTTCTCCAGCATCAAGCAAGCATGTCGTCCTCGTTCCGGCTGCCTCTGCCTTGGACACCAGGACAACTCCTCCCAGCAGGGAAGTTCAGGTTGTTTTAGGACCTGCCTCAGCACACTGCAAAGCTGCAATAGTCTCACACCTGCCTTCCTCTGCAAGGATGCCCAAGGATGCCTCTGCTGCAATGCAGCTTTGGCAGCCAAGGATGGGGTAGAGACATGGCACGGGACCTTCCACCCCAGCCCATAGATATTCAACAGCAATAACCGGAGAAGGTACCGGGGCTACTGCCATGCAAGCTCCAGCCTCAGTGTCCTATGGGGGAGAGGAGGAGCTCCTGCAGCCTATATAACTCCTCAATCCCTTCCACCCATGCAGTTGCCAAAGTTGGTGTTGCCAAATGCACCAAGTGTAGCTTCTGTAGGGCGACCGGTCACTGCTGCGTTAACTCCGGCACCTGAGTTGGCCTTGCATCCACCCTGCAAGGCCCTACCCTCCACCCTACCCCCAGCACCAGCACCAGCACCAGGCCAACTCACCTAGGGTAAAAGCACAGCCAAACCCAGGGGAGAGAGAGAGCTGTTGTGTGGACATTCGGGAAAACAGCTGAGTAAGAGCTCAAGCCAGTTCTGCAATACAAACATGGGTTCCCAACACTATCCTAAGGGGCCCTGGACCGGAGGTTGCATTTTTCAGAGGAGCCGACACGTGTTGCATGGTTAGATCCCAGAGCTGGATGTCTAGCTCCCTTTAGCATCATTACAGGGGCCTGTGCTGGCATCCGACAGAAAGCAAACACATCACTTGCCAGCTCCGGCAGCACCGAACAATGGTTAAACAGGACAAGTGCTAAGCAACACGGGTTAAAAAAAAGAGTCAAAATGAATGAAACTCCTCTGCCATCACCCCCATGCGAGACAAGGAGAGACCAGCTCAACAGCTTGTTCAGAGCTCTCCCAAAGCCCAGGATCTTTCAGCAGAAGGGATTAAATTAAAATCACATTGTGCGAGACATGGGAAAAAAGAGAGTTCTTCAAAGCAGTTTTGTCCTCAAGTGGCCTGGGATGGGATGGTAACAATTTTCGGTGTCTCTTTGAACACAGACAAAAATCAGTATCTAACCTCCATGCAGCAGGGGCTCTTAGAAGACAGCAGCCCCAGAGCTTCACACTCACTGTTCAGTGCGGCCGCAGTTTTTCAGCGCTGCACGAGTAGTCCGGGGGCCCGCGATGAGGAGGAGCCGGATTTGTTTCCTGATGAGCTCGGAGGAATGAGGAACTTCTCCCCCGTGCTGAGAACTGGAGTGATGGCACCTCCATCCAGGACCCGGGGGGTAAAGCACACACTTACATCACAACAGCTCCAGGAGAGGAAATAGGATTCACGCAGGACCGCTGGGGTTCGACCACAATCTACTCCAAGCCTCACCGCTCCCCCTACACACCTGGCAATACAGCCGGGTGGGAGGAAGGAGATGCTCATGCTGTCCAGAGCACAGATGTTTGGGGACTCGAAACCAGAGACCACCCGGCCCTACCTCTCCCTTACCTGGCCCGGGTGCTCCTCCACAAAGCAGAGCTCACACTGCTTTCCTTGCATCCTGGCCTTGTGCGTTTGAAGCCTTTAGCTGGACTATCTCTAGCATTGGAGGGAGAAGAGGGAGGGAAGTAGCAGGTAACGATCACCTGCTGTGCAGAAGGTGTCTCCTCTCGCTCACACCTGGGCAGCAGCCTCCTCTGGTGTGGAGCTGTTTAAAGCCTAGCAGTGTAATGTGGGAAATGAGGAATGCCACATTCAGCTAAAACGGCAGAGGAAACTGGGGAGCAGGCTACCATTACCCAAGCTTAGGGGAAAGCCCTTCTTGCTGCAAACAGTCAGGTTTTTCGGCAACCACAGCTCAGCAAAGGGAGTGGGGCCTTTTTCCAAAAGCACAGAGAAGAGGAGGAGGAAGAAAGCAAAGGGGCAGAGGAGGGTTTGCAGGTGGGTTAGGAGAGGTTTGTCAGACTGGGGAGCAAACAAATAAAAAATACAAAACCCCATCTCCCTCCTCACCCTTAGGTGTGTACTCTGCGCTCATTGCTGACCGTATGGGGCCCTCAAGTGAGTGTATGAAGAGGACGGAGGGTACCCACGTTGTAGCCGTATTGGTCTAGAGGCAAAAGAAATCAAAACTCATGGCAGAAGTGATATCTTTTATTAGAGCAACTAAATTTTTACACATTTTTTTGCAAAACAATTTTTTTTTTTTTTTTTTGCAAAAATCTAGTTGCACTAATAAAAGATATCACCTCTACCATGAGTTTTGATTCCTTAAGAACATGGGGTCACCAGCAAGCCCCGAGAGCAGCCTCCCGGGAGGAAGGCAAGGCGGAGGAGGCCTATCATCCCAGAAGCATCTAGCAGGCTTCACGGCCCCAAGTCCGCTCCTACCCAAGCCACCCACAACATTTTGAGCTCACTATACTGGTGCATGACCCTATGCTGGATAACAGTAACCCTTTATGTCACCACGACCCCATGGTAATGACTCTAACAACCCAGGAGACTATGCAGAGCTGGTTTTCAGGTCTCCCGATTCCCTCCATTGCCACTTTCCCTTTCCCTCGCTTTCCTCCCAGGCACCCTCTGGAAGTGCCTGCGGCCCCGGGTCTGGGGCCGGCTGCTCCTCTGCCCCCCAGCCTCTTTCAGTTCAAAACAATTCGGGGTGATCTGGGCTGTTCAAAGCAAACAGGCTCCGCTTTGGTGCATTAAGAGCAGAGCCAGGGCTATTTTCGTTGATTAAAATGCATCTCAGTTAGAGGAAATTAATTTGCGGACATTGTTAAGGGACTCAGCACCACAGAAGGTTAATGAACTGCCGCTCACATCCCTCACTTAGAAGGCAGGCGCGTGTAACCTCTGAAAAATGAGGCGGAGGGAGGGGATGCGATTTGCCGGAGGTTTCTACAAAGAAGTCCGTGGCCAGGCAAGGACCGGACCCCAAATTGCAGAGTCTTCCTCCACTCAGCCGCTCCCCGAAATTAGTCTGAAGCAAAGCCCAGGCCTGGGACCCCTTAAACTTCAGGTACATCTGAAGCTGCTTTGTCCTATTTCCAGGGCTAAGGAAGGGCAGACGGCTCCTTTCAAAAGGAGCCTCCTAGATAGGTGTGCAGCAAAACAAGGCTGTTCTAGTAATTACCAAGCCCATTTAGCCCAATTAAAAATCCTTGGGAGAATATAAATATCATTAACTTAGGTTGGAAGAGAGCGTGGGGAGGGGACGCAGAGGTAACCTCCCCGTGGACGGTGGGGGCACGTCTAACCAAGGCCCAGGCACTCGCGGCACTTTGGCCGTAGCGGGGACCATAACAGTTTGGTGGCCAAGGAACATAATGTACGCAGCGGAGTAGAAAAGGGAAAGGAAATTGGCAGGGGAGGGTGAGTCAGGGCCAAGAGGACTTGGAGGTTACAAGAAGCGTTTCTAAATGAATTGGAAACTTCACAGGGAGCCAACAAGGTGACTGAAGCACGGGGGAAATATAATCAGAGTGCTCTGAGCCGATGAATAACCATATTGCAGAGCTGCCGACCAGCTGGGGCTTCCAGACCACGTGGGCCGAGAGGTGAAGCAACAAGGGGTGACAGAGCCAGGCACTGGTGACAAAGGCTCAGGCTAGCGGGATGGAGGCAGCAGAGGAGAGAAGGCAGCTTAATTGCTTGGCAAGGTTTCCTTGTGACTCCAAGGTCTTGTCAGTGCGCTTCAAGCAGGGGCATGGGGGTCCAGGGATCCCGGGTTCAAGCAGGGGGACAGGGGTCCAGGACTCCTGGGGTCAAGCAGAGGTACGGGGGTCCAGGACTCCCGGGTTCAAGCAGGGGCACGGGCGTCCAGGACTCCCGGGTTCAAGCAGGGGCACGGGCGTCCAGGACTCCCGGGTTCAAGCAGGGGCACGGGCGTCCAGGACTCCCGGGGTCAAGCAGGGGCACGGGGGTCCAGGACTCCCAGGTTCAAGCAGGGGCACGGGGGCCCAGGACTCCCGGGTTCAAGCAGGGGCACGGGGTCCAGGACTCCCGGGTTCAAGCAGGGGTACGGGGGTCCAGGACTCCCGGGTTCAAGCAGGGGGCAAGGATCCAGGACTCCGGGGCTCAAGCAGGGACACAGGGGTCCAGGTGTATTTCCAGCTCTGAGTTTGCAAGCTGCAAACTGCCTGTGCCTCAGTTTCCCCAGTATAACCTGGGAATAATAACAGTGTCCCCTAGTTCCTAGGGCTATGGTGAGATGCTACGTATTCCTATGAGTTGCCAACGGAGGGCGTGATTTGCAGTGCTTTGCTTGGGGTTTAGGCACAGAAAAGCAACCTAGCTCCCAGGTGGGGGCAGCTCTCACTCTCGCTAGAAATAAGCATTCATCAGGTACGAGGCATCCAGCCATGGCACAAAGGGGCTGTCAATCCAGAGAGGGAGAGACAAAGACACGTCGGGCATTACTGTGATGGGGCTCAACCGAGGGCAGCGGGAGCCCCAGCGTGCTGTGCTGAAGGGAGCAGGTTCACCCCTTGTCCCTGAGCATGCTGCTGGGTAGGTCAAGAGATGCTGATTTTGGGGATATTCCCAGCCTCGCAGGTGCCTGTGTGGGCCGCCTCAGGGAATGATGCTCCAGAGGCTAAGCCCAAGGGCAATCAGGGGCCTCACCTAAGATCTGGAGGCCCTGGACAGGGCATGGGGGAGAGAGATGAGTGCTTACTTCCTCACCCTAGATGCTGCTGCAGTTGCAGGGGCAGCAGGGTGGGCTGCCGCTGCCTCAATGCAAGCTCAAATACGGGCTCCCTGGAGGCTGTCATTCGGGCCCCCTCTCACCCACCCCACGTTACACTGCTGAGGAACATCATTAGATCAGAAAAGCAAGCCAGGGGCTGAAGAACAAGGCTCAAGAGGTAACACCGAACGAGTTAACTGAGTCTAGTTCATCAATGAGGCGTCCGAGAGGCGACAGGATTCAGGCCTTCTTGCATGGAGAAGACATCTCATAGTTACGTGTGGACTTGTTAACCTTGCTGAGAAGGGTGTGCCAGGATCTAGTGGGTAGAAATTAAATTCAGCCTTAAGACGCGTCTCTGGGCTTGTTCCCCACCGTGCCACTGACCTACCACCCAGCCTGGAGAAAGGCAATTAGCCTCTCTGCACGGCTAGCTACTGTTATCCGTCCCATGCAAGATAATGGAATAGGCGGGGGGGGTCTGTGCGCCCCCCACCTCTGCTGCCGTGTCAGAAATGCTCACCTGTGTGTCATGTGCCCTCTGCTGCCGCTTGCCAACCGAGATTTTCCTGTGCTTTGAAAACAGAGGTTTGCTCCCACATCTGCAGGGACGCCCCGAGCAGCTGCAGTGCAAACAGCAGAGCAGTAGTGATGAATACCCAGGTGGTCAGTGCTGTGCTGTGGGATCATACCAGCTGACCCCTACCTAGGTGTGCTGGAAGGCCTGCTCATAGCTGGTAAGGTACTTAAGAGACCTTCAAGTACTTTGAGGAAGGCCAAGGGGTTATTAGCCAGGCACCAAGATGGAATAAGCAAGGGTTAAAAGCCCTACAGGAAGCATCCTTCCAAGCCTCCTACAGTAAAGGGATCAGCTGGCTCCTAAGAGAGCGAGAGAGAAAAGCCAAAATGAAGAGCTTGCACTTTCCAGCCCTTCCCTAGCATTCCTAGATTAAATTAAAACTTTATAGGGTTCAATTGCCTCCGTCAGCTTTATCTGCCTACAGTGCTGACTATAACTGCTCATGCAGACCTGAGAGCAGGCGGCCTTAGATCACCCAGGCAGGGGAGACGGGAAGCCAGGGCTGCTGCGGTAGAGCATCCTTCCTCGCTCCCACGCACCAACAGTGACCCCCTGCGACCGCACAGAGGAACTTGGAGCAGAAGCTTCTTCCTGATACTTTGTCCTGAAAAAAGAAAGATTACCTGTTTGACCAAGGCTATGAAAATGAGGCCTTCAAGCTTCTCTCATTATTTAATTACAGGGTGTGCTCCAAAAGCCCCTCTCACACCAAAGGAGAGACTGCAAAGAACAAACCCACTTGGTTTACAGAGAGCAGTATCATTCAATGAGGCAGGCCTGATCTGGCCTGTGTGCTGGAAGTTGAACACGGCTGCT